GTTCTCATTGGCTCAGAGGCACACAGTCAAGCAGAGAAAATTTTCTTTTGCAGACCTTGTTGCCACCAACCCTATAGGGACAGTGAAGCTCTGTACAACACTCTCCCTGGCCCCTGCCGGCTTTGTAGGGACTTGTTCCCGTTGGAAAGCGAGTGGCTTTCATGTACAAGTCTTCACATTAGAATTTAGGGTTCCTTTGCAGGAGAGATTAATTTTTTAATCTCTGTGGGCGCCACTTGGAATTCTTTGAAAATGCTCAGCATGCTCAAGTCCAGGGCATTCATGTCATTCACGGCGCTTGTCTGCACACACAAGCTCCTTAATCCCTAGTTCGCTTCTGAGCTCTATTAAGCTGTTTGGCACAACCTCTTCTTAGGAGAGAAACATGGACCCAAACAGACATTTTTGCTCATGGTCAGGTGACAGAATACTGCAGTGGGCATTATCAGGTAGTCAAGTAAGGTGATGGTCGTGAGGACACTCATTTCATTGTATGTAGAACAAGAAAGTCATTTTGCAGTCAAACTAGGCTCAAACACTTCGCTTTGGGAGTTAATTAATTTTGCTCAAATATTCAGAGTTCTCCCCTCTTGAAATTCCAGCTGTAGAGCATATACTTCTTGGGAAGAGACATGCATGGTTCTGAGTACAGAGCTGCCCATGTGCAGCCTTATTTTATTTTATTAACATTTATTTAGTGTGTGTGTGTGTGTGTGTGTGTGTGTGTGGCCAGCTCAGCCCACCAGGGGGGCGCAGCTGGCTGGCATGTGGTGCTGGGGGATCGAACTGTGGTCCCTGTACTTTGCCAAGCTTGTTCCAAGTAGGTGCTTTAGACCACTGAGCCATCTCTCCAGCCCTGTGCAGCCTTATTTTAAACTGAATAAATCCTGCAAGTCTAGATTTTATTTAGTTGGAGATTCCGGATGGAGTGGCACTTTTTTGGGTTTTATTCTTTGACATCTAATATTTCCTTATTCAATAGTGACCTTTTTTCTTCTTGGTATACTTTCTAGGTTACAGAGAGAATGTCTTCTATTAGAAGAAGCCTAGATATATAATAGATAGTTTAGTCTTCTCAATGGATTAGCCTAAATAGATAATGCATTGTTTAATCTTAATGGGCATCTAGGAGAGATGTCATGTTGATCAAATGGGTGAAATGTAGCACCCAGTGGGGGGAGAGGATTGTTCGCTCTATTCATGATATGAGCTGATAAAATTGGTCCTTTAAACAAGAGGTTTTGTGTTGGGAGAAGATCGTAGGAGTTCTATATGTGAGTACCGTGACTATTGAGATTGTCATATATTGCTTAGAACTAACTGGTCTATTCTGTTAGATGTTTGACAAAATTGTTGACAGATTAGCTAAATTTCTGTGTAGGCAACAATGATAAAATGACACAAATCATTATTAAAATTCCATGAGCTTTAGTGAAGCAAGTTGTAAAACAAATACACATGCTGACACAGTTGTATGGGAGTTAGATTCAGAATGGAGTTGGGCAGTTAAGACTGCCATCTGCTGCTTCATTCTTCTAAATCATTTCTACTACCATGAAGATATGTGTGGGTTTGTGTTTGTCACTGATAATTCAGTTTGACTGACAGTAGCCCATGTGCATGATTACCTGCTGGCTTCCAACTTAGGGAAAATCACTCAGCAGTCCCCTCAAAGTAGGCTTAAGATCAGCAGTAAGCAAACGTTCAAACACAATAACTCCCCCTTGGCCGGACAATTTAAAGGATATAAAATGTTTATTGTTAGGATCATTTTTTAAAGTATGCAAAAAAGTGTATGCTCACAATCTGTATAAGCTGTGTGCTTTAGAAAGCTAAATAGGACTATCTACAGATGTTGAGTTGTTTGTATGTGGGGTTTTTTTCTTTCTCAGTTCATAGTCAGCCTGGAAATCTTAACTTCCTAGGAATAATGGCTTATTGCTGTGGGATTCTTTTTAAATATCTTAAGCTTGACATGTATTAGTAAATAAAAATACAATAGGCATATGTTTTTGTTTCTAGAAGATACTCATCAGATGATGTTAAAACTGCATTCTTCTTTGCATTTGTGGCTTCTTTTTAAATAAATAACTACTGAATACTGGGTTTTTCTGGAGAGAAAATTATGAGAATTGATACTTTATATTAACCAAGCTACTATATGTTATTATGATAGGCATTTCCCCCCATTTTAATTAGAAGCCAGAAGTGTTTGATGGGTAGATAATTTGAGGAAAATATTTCTTTATAGGACTTAACATGTTTGTATTTAATATATCCATCTTGCTAATGATTGTTCTCTTTATCTAGGTCTGATACCACAGCTCATTGGGGTTGCTCCAGAAAAGGCCATTAAACTGACTGTAAGTTTCTTTCTTTCTTTCTTATTGAAGTTGTGTCACTTATTTGGATTAAACCCAAAACTAAAATTGATGCTGTGGGCCGGGAAGATGGCTCAGTGAATAAGTGCTTCCCTGGCAAGCACAAGGGCCTGTGCTTACATTTCCAAGTTCAATCCCCAGTTCTGCAAAAATAAATAAATAAATAAACAAACAAACAAACAAATAAATGGATGCTGCTAAGACTGGCATAGCATCCAGGCAGTTTATAAAGCCTTTTTCTCCCCACTTCCTTTCCTTCCCTTTTTCTTTTCCCTCCATTCCTGTTGAACCCGGGGCTCTTACCAGTGCTAGGCAAGTGCTCCACCACTGAGCTACATCCCCAGTCCTTTTTGCTTTTTATTTTGAGGCAGGGTTTCACTAAGTCTGACCTTGATCTTATGCTCCTCCGATTTTAGCCTCTTGAGTAGATGGGATTAGAGAGGTGCACCATCATGTTCTAGCAAAAACTTTACATTTATATTTAATGTAATGTTGGCTAATTTTTATCATGAGACAAATATTTTGCTGACTTCAAAAAAGCAACAATGTACCAGGAGAGGAAATGGTTGGGAATTCTAGTTAACTGATACTGTCTTTCTAATCAGGTTAATGATTTTGTCCGAGATAAATTTATGAAAAGAGATGGCTCTATTCCACTTCCAGCAGAGATTCTTGCTGGAGGCTGTGTAAGTATTAATCCTGTATGTTCCTTGTAAAAAAGTCTTATCTTTTTGCACCTTAGATATGATATCAGATTAGCATTTTCCTTGGGTTCAAGTGACCTAAGCACGTTTTCTTTTTTAAAATATTACGTATTTATTTATTTACATTTTTTGCATTTGGAATGATTCTTTAAAATGTCATTGTATAATACAGTAGTCCCTCGCTATTTTGCGATTTACCTTTCATGGACTCACTGTTTTGCGGGTTTTCAAAAAATATTAATCTAAATTATCTATTGCAGATTTTTTGCTATATCACAGAATCTTGTAGTGCTGTACAGTATACGTATATTGTTAAAATTATGTACATTTATGAGTTTAGAAAATGGTTAAGAACACTAGAAGTGTTTTTAAAAGTGTGGGAAAGGTTTATGAGTGTGGAAAGGGTTTATAACGCCTTAAAATATATATAAATACTAAAATAAATACAGTATGGCTACTTTGCTGGTTTTCACTTATTGCAGGGGTGCCTGGAATATAACCTCAGCGATAAGTGAGGGGCTGCTGTATAATGGGTTTTGAGAATAAAAAAGAAGAGATTATTTTCATCAACTTTTTTGTCAGCTTCTGGAGCATTACTTTCCAGACTTTTATAAATCTAAATTTTATCCTTCTTAAGCATCACAGAAAATACAACTGGATGGGGATACTGTATGTTCACCTTAGCTGGAAGTTTAAGTGTGAGTTTATTAATTGGGCCCTTATACTTCAGATATAGGACTAGTCTAATCATAATATTTCTTCTTTAGGGACTGGAGGGTGTAGCAAATAACTATCACAGCTATTGATAAAAATTCTGAAACCAAGAATCAGAGTATATTTGCTTATGGCCCAACTGCTTCTGTCTGTAAACTGTAAGCATCCCATTGGATTTAGACCAATTCCCACACCTATGTTTTTGGTTCAGCTAGTTTTCTTTGCGGTATTGTCTTACGTGTGATTTGCTTGAGATTTGTTTAGTCCATTTTGTTCCTGAAAATGTTAATAACTTCTAATTGCATTGGTTGGCAATTCTGGCTAAAATCTCAGTTGCTTATGTAGCTGAAGGTGATGAGGTCAGTGACCTTAGAAGTTTTAATTCAGAAGAGATGCCCCTGGGGTCAGAGGGTCAGGTTCCTGCAGGTTCTTCTTGAAGCGATTTGTCAGCCTAGCACGTACCTAAGTCTTCACCTTCCGCAGCCGGAGCTCTTGTGGAAGCGGTGGGTTGTGGGGGGAGGGGTCGTTCACACACACGTCTGAACATGTCTGTGTGTGTCAGTGCGTGCATTCTCAGGAGGGAAGCCTCTCTGGCTGAATTTCCTTTTTTATGATAGATAAACAATGGACAAGGGTAAGCCCTTGCTTAGGTGGGATTAAAGGGCTGAAACTGCTTCTCATCTAATGAGAACAGCTTTGCAAATCAAATCATCTTTTCCTCCATGGTTTTAGCTTCCTTTTGGTTAGAAGGCTTCCTGGTTCTTTGCCACCATGGCACGTGCACATATTTGTCAGAAACCTCTAAGTTACACTTTCGATTCCTTATAGCTAAAGACTTCTGTTTGCATTTGCAGTGTGCAGAGGCTGTTGGCCATGTCTGACGTGCGACTCACACGGTTCAGCCATAATCAGATGCTTGTTCCTTTGTTCTCCCTCGGTGTGGGCTATGTTTATAGAGTTGAACTTGGAGAATTTCTATTGAAGTCTAAAGTGCCTTGAGGGTTGTGCTGACTCTAAGTATCTTCCTTAATCATGGCTCATTTCTGGAAGCTTTGATCGACTGTCTGGCTAGAAATGGACAGCATGAGAATGATTAAGTTTGTCTGCGGTCCTTCACCTTGAATAATTTCTGCTTTCCATTTCTCTTCACTCGGAAAGGGGAGAAAATATGTAATTAATGGAGCTTTTTCTGACTCAGTCATTCTACAGCATAAGTGACTGATAAAGCATAATCCACTAGTTTCCCCAAGAGTTGATATTTTTGCAGGGAAAATACAGCCTGTGACAAAAAGGATGAGCCTCTATTTACAGGGTGTCCTGATATTGTGAGGCACATGGCATTCTCTGTCCTGAATGCTGTCAGGAAAGTGCTGGCAGAGCAGCTGCCCACCAGGCTGATCCTGAGAGTCTACCCACACATGATAGTGGTGCGGTACAGTGCCGCGTGCTCCTGCGTGCTCCCGCGTGCTGTGCGTGCCCCCAGTAAGAAGGGTGCTACGGCTCTTCAAAAAATTACCCAGTTAGAAAACTGTACCTATGCTGGGTAATTAGAACAAAATGACTCAAAGTGACTTTTCCCAACAGAAAGATTAGCTAAGACCTAGGTTTTGACTTTCTTATTAATAAGTAGGAAGGAAATCCTATTGCTGTGAAAATGACTTTATTGCCTGTAGGAAAAATGATGTGCGACCATGAAGAAGTGGCTGAGAAGTGATCTCTGGTCCTCTTGTGTTCCATATTTTTCATTGTTTAATTTATGATATCTCTCTCTCTCCCTCCCTCCCTCCCTCCCTCCCTCCCTCTCCCCTTTCCTCCCTTCCTTTCTTTCTTTTCCTCTCTCCTTCCTTTGCCTTTCTTTTCCTTCCTCGGGATTGAACCCATGGCCTACCTCATTCTAAGCATATACTTTACCACTGAGCTGCTTGCCCCAGCGTCAGAACCAGTTTCTAAAAATATGTGATAACATGAAAAAGAATATGCTGCCTAGGTGTAAAAAGTAATAATACAAGGCTATACATACACTTGCACCTTAATGTGCTAAAATGTTGTTATTGACACTGATTTTTGCTTTTAATATGGTTCTAATTTGATAGATTATTAATGAGGAGTGGGGACTTTTCCTAGTGGACTAAACATTTTATAGGGATTATCTTATTATTCCTAACTAGGTTTGATTAAAATTTTCATCAGTAGTAATTGACAAAGTTGAAATTCAAACTACTTCTGTCTCCAAATTTATATTTCACATTTGATGTTTCCATTTTATTTGTTCTTTCATTCATTGAATACCTGTAATGTTTTAGGCAAATTTTTTAAATAATAATTTTTGTGGTGGTATTGGGAATTAAACTAGGGCTTTGTGTATGCTAAGCATGTGCCCTGCTACTGAGCTATACCCACAGCCCTAAAACAAAAACCCCAAACCCCAGATTTATTGGTGTATAATTCATATTGATACAGTTCCCCATTTAATATGTACAAACAGTTCAGTTGTTTTCAGTATAATTCATAGAAGTATGCAACCATCACCACAAATAATTTTGGAACATTTTCAGCATTACAAAAAGAACTTGAGAGATTACAGGTGTGTGTCACCACGCCCAGTTTGGGTGGCTGGCTCAGTGCAGGGCCAGCACGGCATGTGGTACCAGGCATCAAATCCAGATCCTTGCACATGTCAGACAGGCATTTAGACCTCCGAGCTGTCTCCCTGGCCCCCAGGCTTTGATCTTTAATACCAGGTTGTTGTTGTAGTATATTATTATTATTATTATTATCTAGAGTCTTCTATCACTTTACAGTTTTTCCACCTCACTTCTAGTTGCTAAGCAGCTATTACTATACCTTTAGTTGATAGATTCACTGATTTTTAGTACTTTATATAAATAATATGTAGCCTTTGGTATCAGCTTGTTTTACTTAGCCAGTTTGGGTCAGTACTTACTTCTTTTTATTGTTCAACTTATGGGTAGACCATATTTTGTTCATCCATTTATCAATTTCTGGACATTTGGGTTGTTGCCAGTTTTTGCCTAATAGAAATAATGTTGCTATGAACATTGACATATAATGTTTAACATGGACACGTGTTTTCATCTGAGTATGAATGGAGTAGTTGGTGGATTATATGGTGATTCTAAAGTGGATACTGGATTGATTGATTGATTGATTGATTAGTTCTGAGAATTGAACCTGTGGCCTTTGTACTGAGCTATGTCTGTGGTTCTTTCTAGAGACAGGCTTTGATGTTTTTTAAAAA